ATCAAAAGTATGAGTAAACGAAAATATTCAATCATTTTTGTGGGAAAGATGAAAAAAAAATTAATAATTTTCATCCAGAAAATTATTTTGATCAGTTTTGCATCTAAAAATGGTTCTGCCTTACAGAACAACATGGTGGAGAGTTTTATGCTATGATCTATCATACTGCAATTGTCTGATTTTATATAGTTTAAAGGAATAGAAATTCCAGTCTTCATACACTTTTTTGCAAAGGAATAAGGCTGATTTTATATATGAAAATCTACCAAATTGCAGTAAGAACTTATTTCTTACTTCTATGACTCATTGTCTTCTACTTGGTCAGATTTTCTATCAGTGTTCTGTGCTTAGGCAAAGTTCGTTGCATTCTAAAACTTGATCAGTTTGAGCAAAACAAAATGAAGCAAACTTTTCTATAAAAGAAGACAATAATTTTGGCGTAACAATAACTTTTTTTCTCTGTTTATAGAGACTGCTAAAATGGTTGCTCCTTATTCAGACACTGTGCTGCAGAATCTTTGAATTAAACATCTTTTAATGGAGGCAGCCCCCATGAGAACAGCAAACAGGAGCAGCAAGTTTCTGTAAACACCTTCAGCACTTAGCTCACATCTGATTTTAGCTTCACTGTAGGGTGGCAGAGCTGCAATGGTTTCGTTAGTCAGGACTTTGGAATCAGAGCCCATACTTATTATATCTGTTTTCTCCACCTTCAGTCAGCATGTCATAAGTACTTCATAAGCCTGCCTGGCTTGTGGTAATCCTTGGGACGCACATGGCTGTCTCTATTACCATCCATAAATCCACTATCTGCCTGAACTTGAATTCATTAAACTCACATGTGCAGCTAACCCGTGAGCCTTGCACTGATGTTATTGATATTTAAATAACACTGTGCCTTTACTTATTCCTCTGGTGCTAGTAAAAAATTTTGATTTCAGGAACTATGGCAGTTAAAGTGAAAGCAGTAATTCCAGAGAATCTAAGGGTACTAGAAAATGTTCCATTCCCTAATAGATTTTAACACACTGTTTTTCTTAAGTTTCAGCAAATGACTGGAAATTCTCAGTAGTGGGTAAATATATTTTAATCTCAATTATTGTTAGAAGAATTAGCATATTTACTCAAATCATTGTAGATATAATCTTGAATACCCTTTTAAGGCAAAATATCATAGGCTCAGGACATTTTGCTTGTTTGATTGACAACCAGTACAAATCTCCCATAGCTGATTTGCACATTAAGTAAAAGAGCACAACTCTGCCCTGTATTCTCTCTTCCCCAGACCAACTTTCCTTTCTTCTACACTTTGAGGAGGGGATGGGCAGCACAGGAGTGCGCGGGGTGCTTTTGGCTGCCCCTACACAGCAGTCTCCTGTCACTCTGTCTGAAACAGGGTTTGCTGATTTGTCTCTTTTTGGCTTTGACACACTGAGTCACCCATGGCAACAGCCTCCTGGGGGCTGTTCCTACCGCTTTCAGCATGCAGTGCCTCCCTAAAAGCGTGTCTATGGTTGTGTGTGCTCCTCTGACCAACTGAGGTTTTGGTTCCCAATAGTTCTGTTTCCTCCACTGTTGTTTCATTTGCTGCACAATGGTGCTGATATCCAGCAAGAAGCAGACAACACACTTGCACATGGTATCATTCCATCTTTACCTGAAAGGAGTGACCATAGGTTTTGAAACAAATGGATTTGGCAAACCAACATCTGGCAACTACTAGCATGAAACGAGCAATTTCCAGACAAGCCATTGCCCTCCACAATGTTCCTTGGTGCTGAGGACACAGCAGGCCTAACTGTAGAGGGAAAAATATGTCAAGCCACAGCTACTCAGGTAGCTTCAGTTCATTAGTCCTGTTTCAAATTAAACATCTTATTTAATTGTTTCACATTGAAGTTGAAAATTCTTGATAATTTTAACAATTTTCAAAACTATATATTGAGTCATTATAACAACAGAAATCCTTTATGGAAAAATATGAATACATTATGTTAAGCTTTGAGCTATTTCTTCATTTACCAAGTTATGGATCCTTTAATTCTGCTATGGATTCCTCTGAAACCAATCCATTATGTTAATAATTGCATACCCTCATTGCTGACAACTCTTAGCCAGACGGTGAGAACTGTCATCTGATGTAGAAATACGTGATATATATTTGTCAATGAAATTAAGTCAGATAAGTCCCTTATCATGCATTTTCCATTAAAAAAAAAGAGTTCAGAGTAGTGTCATTGACATGAAAGTCCTGGTATCCAGGTGCACTTCATTTGGTCAGATTTCAGGCAGTGGAGCATGTTGTTTCTTAAATATTGAGGAAGTTATGTTATGAAGAATACGCCAGAGAAAAAGCTGCCACTTTATTTTAAGTAGAAAAATGTGATGTACAGAATAAATGGGCCAAAAGACATGAAGGCAGGAATCTCATGTCCTTTAATACATCTGCCAAAAGATCTGTAAATGTATCAACAAATCAAACTCTATTCTGTACATGAAAAGAAAGCCACTGATCAGCATTTTGAACAAACTAGAGGGATTTTTTTTTCCTCTAAAGAGGATAACTAAAAATGTACAGTGGGGACAAAATCTTGACTTATCAGACCTGCTCTTTGGAAAGAAAATATGGCTGAAATGTATTAGAGATAAATCCACTTATTAAGCTGTAGATGTACTCTAGCTATCCTTCTCCAGACCTGATGGCTGTAGCTTATACTCCCCTTTCTTTAGCCTCTAACACATCAGTGTCATGCCTAGGGGCTGTTTCTACTATGAGGAAAGAAGACTTCCAACAATGGAGAGAGTTACCTATCCTGCTCAGAAAAGGCCACCTCTAGCCACATCTGCATCCTCTCCAAATTTTACCATTTAGAACTTGCTTCTAATTTAAAAGGGATCCAAACAGTAATTCAAAATCTATAATATTTATAGTGCCCATTAGCTATAAAGGACTTTGTATCTCATTATGATTGCATCCCATAAGGAAAGTAGGAGACCTATGTTGCATGCTCTGTCTTGCGTGGTCCTATGCTTGCACACAGCAGCAGGAATTTGGATTCTACATCTTCCTTCTGGGAGGAACCTTCAAATAGCCTTCCCTAACTGTATTTTTTTTCTACTACAGATATTCAAACACAGGATTTTCTTTCCCTAAGTGTTCTCTAAAGTATTTTCAGACCTCTCTGTTCTGCTAGTAATCAATAATCGCACTAGTATTGTGAAAAGAGTTAAAATGAGGTTGCAAATATACATTATTAACCTGCTTATGTATGGAATATGGACTGTGGACTGGAACTTGAAAAGATTGTATAGAATTGATCTCCCATGGAATCAAGCTTATCCATTTAAACAAGTCATTTAGTTTCCACTTCACTGAAATTCCTATTTCACCTAACTTTGCATGCCTATATTGTAGTTATCTCAACTGTGTAGAACACCCTAACCTTCCAGTGTGCTTATATGGAAAGAAAAATTTGTTCACCTTACTTGTGTCTCTACTTTAGTGTTTGATGAATCGCTTGAAGAAACACTCCTTTATCCCTTTTGACTACACAAAAACCCTAACTGAAATGTAGACATGTATATATAACAGCAAGGAAATTAGGAAAGAAGAATCCTGCTTCTAATCTCCCTCCAAGTTCAGTGAAGAGAATTACGTGCATCTGGAAGACGACTAATGTGGATATACTTTTTTCCATAGTAGAGTGTATCCTCCTTACTATCTGTCTTTCTCCATTACCTTTAACAAGGATGTGAAAGTAGAGACAAAAACATATAGTTAAAGTTAGATGAGATGAAAACCACTTATGCACTTATGCACCACTGTCCATATGCTTCCATATAAATTTGAAATCCTTTTCTAAAGTACCATCAGAAAGACATTGAAGAAAATGCAATCCCTTTTCTAGACTGTGACTAAATGGGTGCAAACTAGGAAGGAGCAGAGTTTGACTTGATTGTGTGTATATGGCATTACTCCAAGTAGAGACTCAAGGTAAATTTGCACAGAAGAATCCAGCACACTGATTTATGTCTTAGAGGGTCACAATAGAGAGATTATAAGTTATACCTCTAAGTCATGGTGGATTTTTGTGTTTGGACACAGTATTCATAGCATTTTTTAATAAAGATTCAGAGTGGTGACCACTGTAAAATTCACCAGTCTGGAAAACAAGAGCACTTTCTTTCGCTCCCATCACAACCAGTAAGAAAGATCATACAGGCCAATTTTAGTTCTTGATGACAGCTGTGAAATCTTACTGAATGCTCAGAAGTGTAACTATGGAAATCATTTGGCATGTAGGATCTTAATTTTATTTTTAAACTTTTTTACACCTCCCTCTGAAATTGCCATCTCCTGGCTCCTGTTAGGCAGAGGATATGCAGCTTTTCTAACCTATAATTTTGTACCACTAGTAATGATGATTGACATGAAAACAGCACAGCTTGTCTATTAGCACCAAGCTGAATTTGCAAGGATGTCAGTAAGATTATATAGTTGTGCATCCACATGTATTCAAGGGAGTACATATATATTTAAAATAACATATCCAACATAAATCAATAAACTTAAGGTTTCTGCAATTTCAGTAAAAGCTCAGGATCAGAGGAGTGAATTTTGAAGTAGAAGTAATCTTTTCTACAAAGATCTCTCCCAACACAAGGCAGAAAGTTCATCATTATATCAAAATCATGGAATTGTGGAATCATAGAATGCTCTGGGTTGGGAGAGATCTAAAAGATTATCTAGTTCCAACCCCCTGCCATGGACAGGAATATCTTCCACTAAACCAGGCTGCTCAAAGTCCCATCTAACCTGGCCTTGAACACTCTCAGGGGTGGGGCATCCACAGGTTCTGTTCCAGTGCTTCACCACCCTTACAGAAAAGAATTTTTTCTGACTACCAAATCTAATCTACTCTTGGTTTGAAAGCATTCCCCTTTGTCCTGTCACTACATGATTTTGTAAATAGTCTCAGTTTTCCTTTTTCTTTTTGCAGGTACTGGAAGGCTGCAATTAGTTTCCCTGAACAGACTTGCTAGCCTCTGTCAGCACTGCTTGTCTGCACAAAAAAAGGCTATAACTCAGTGGTTCTTTCCACCTGGGACCATTTACAGGGAGGCTTTGAGTCAGAGGTAAAATATTTTCTTAATACTAACTAGTATCTCAAAGACTTCAGCCTTGATACTCTGCAAAAAAAATTATCAGAATACAAGTCGCTAAACTCGGGATTTTTTGATGACAATGTCTGTTTATTAAATGCTTCAGGTTTGCGTTTACATTATAGATTTGTTTTACATTACAGATGCTGTCTTTGATCCCCAGTAAGACTAGAGGTATGTAGAAGCCAGTGGAACAGATCTGGGGGACATTCATCCTAATAAACTTTTAATCCTAAAGGGACATATAGGGCTTAAATATGTATTTTTATTGAGGCTGGAGGGGAGGAAACTGTTTAAGAGGGTGAATATTAAAAAGCAACATTTATAAACTGCTAAAATAACCACGGAATGTTGTGTTGCCGACCTCATCTTCTGCAATGGCAGAAGCTCTGTTGCTAAGTAATTAACAGAGCCAAAGAAAGAAAGAGAGAAAAAAAGATAATCCTATTTCTAAATTCTCTTTAAGAAGCACTTATATGGATATAATATGGCAGCAGACACAGTTATAATTGTTCTAATACAATGTAACTCAGTCACACTGAAGGGAGCACCAGGAAAGTGTTATATTGTGAATTTCAGTCCATATGGCTTTATGTCACAACACACATCTCCATTTTCCCTGGACTTCATCTAAGAATCACATTTTTCTAAAGGAGAAAATGACTTCAATGCTCCAAGGTGATATGGTATTTAGACTTGTCCTCTGGTTAGTCCTGGGAACTCCTGTTCCTGCTCAGGTCAGTAGAGAACCTTCTTTCAGCATCACAGTGGGATACACCTCACTGCTTTTTCTGCAGTTGCAGGGCAATTCAGTGAAGAACTCTGGGATTAAATTCAGCCACTTCTTTCCCTTTTGGATGCTCTGAGCAGTTTCTCCTAATAAACTTCTTTAAATTGTAAGCAGAGACAAAACAGAAGCAAACAGCCAATTTTTGTGGCTGTCTGCATTCAGAGATATATTTAAAAAAATATCCTAATAGCAAAACCAGCATTTACTATTGCAAAGGAATAAAGTATATTCTTCAGCATACAAAAGATATTTCACTTCCAGCCTTTTTCAAGTCCTGCATTGAAAGGCACAGATCCATCCTACTGTAAAATTTAATGTGTTATTTGTTATTACTGTGGTGAAACTGTGGGATGTTTAATTTCATCAGAGTTACTAGATGGCAGATATCTGACTACTTAATGACCTTGTATTTACTGAGAAAAAAAGCTTAAATGACAGAGATGTAATGGCAAGAATCCATTGTGGATAACAGAGCTATAGAAGAGCTTAATGTATGATTCAGATTTCACTGCTTTTTGGCATTCAACAGTAACAATGCTAAAATAACACTTAAATAAATATCAGGAGTTAATCACAAGAAATTAAATATTATTAAGGGAGGGAAATTACCATTTTCTATATGTTTTCCTTCAACCCTGCACAGGAAGTAAAGAACAAAAAAGATGTTAGTTAAATTGCACTGTTCTATCTCATTCAAAAGAAGTAGATATTAGCCAATACTAAAGCATAACAGAGAAAAAGAAGAAGAAGAAGGAGAAGAAGGAGAAGAAGAAGGAGAAGAAGGGGGGGGGGGGAGGAGGGGGAGGAGGAGTGGAATTGAATTTGCAATCAGAGTACTTTATTTCTCTAGCCTCCCATACACACCTTTAAGTAATTTACCTAGTGGTGTTATGAGAATCAGGTATATCAAATTATGTTAAATATAAAATATTTTAAAATTTTCTCTTATTTAGGAGCAGAAAATATCTTTATATCTAGTAATGACCATGCAACATAAAATATGGAAAATCAGAACTTTACTTATCACTCTTATATTTTCTTTTGAGAAGAATAAAAGTTCCATGTTAATTTATGCTTGCACAGATCTTTCTCTTGAAGAACAAAGCACATTAAAATTCAGTGCCATAATGCTTCTTGTGTTCTAAGTAAATGTCCTTAAACACCATAAGTGATGGGGAACAAAGGAGTTTCCAAAGATGCTCAGAGGTAATCCTGAAATCTATGGATAATCCTGGGAGGAAATTTAGATCTATACACATTATATTTTGCCTGAAAGACCATAATTTATGTCCATTTCTATTTCCCTGCTCATCCAGTTTACTCTTCCCTTTAGAATCCAAAAACAAAGAGTAAAAACTAAGGCAGTCCTGCTGTCTAATCTGTCAACCACACTTCAGTAACTGGCCATGAATTTCAACAGTTAAAGAAGCCTGTTTCAGGAGCAATTATTCATAAATCCCATTACCTTGAACAGAAATCTGACATATCTGACATAGACAGATTAAAAAAACAAAACAAAACCAAAACAAAACCAAAACAAAACAAAACAAAAAGATATCTAACTACTGACTTTAGCATTAACCCAGGCAAGAAAGCTGCCCAGTAATTCCAGGCAAGAAAGCTATCCAGTATTTCCAGTTGTAATGACAGTTTGTAGTACATACAATACTTTTAAATATAGTTATGTGTGAAGAAAGTATGCTTATATTTTGTTTGAGAAGAGGAATGAAGGAACAAAGATAAACTGTGAGACCCAAACAAGGGAATGAAGGGTATTTTAAGTGTAAGCAATATGCAAAGTTCAGGTTTTACACTTGATACTGAGAAAATAAACATCAGTAAAGAAAGTGACAGTTGTTCAGTATTTCTTTTTCAGTATGAAATCCAAAATTTTGACCCTATTAGCAATTATCAATGGTACCAAATTCAAAGTGGCAAGATATAGAAATAATTTACCTTCCAACCCCAAACCAAAATTTATTGAAGTGAGTCCCTGCAACCTGCTTCATCTATGGGCAAATGTTGCTTTTTTTAATAGGAGCAACTTCAGACAGAAAAAGAAGGGATTTATAAACCATGTAATATATGGGTAATATCCTACAGAAATAACTGAAGCACCAAATATGTTTTCTTCATATCATCTGGTGTGTTTCTATTTACAAATGCTTTTTGTTCAGTGTAATTACAATAGGTTCTCTTATACCTCTGGTTCTTGGGCATTCAATCAGCTGCACTGTTATTTTGTATATATGCTTTGAGCTCACTATCTTTCAATCTTGCAACGTGTCGAAAACATATTTGAGATCTATAGCTTATTGTCTCAGAGAAAGGTTGCCAGTACTCATTTGAAACCATCTCTGAAAACATTATCAAGTAGTGCTTTTCTTAACACTGTGGGACATATCTCTAGGTGTCAATCTGGCCCTGCCTGCTGCCTCTTGATAAGCCAGATACCACACATACCTTGTCACTATGCCAGCATTTGCCTCAAGTAAACTGAAGCTCATCCTCTGGCTCATACAGATTATAGTGCGAAGGGCAGAGAAAATAGTGGAAGGTATTCTACAAAGTGTTAAGGTCATGGAGTCTGAATAAATATTAGCTCGGGCCCATTGGAATTTCATATAATGTTTTTGTAATTTCGTTCATTTCTTTGGGGATTTCAGATGTTCGTACACATGTGAATCATGAAATGTCAACTGAAAATAAAATTTACATTCTTACAGGTTACAGACACAGAAATATATGACAAACTGGAAATACAAGCAAACATTAAAGGGGGTAAATTACCAGGTTTTATCAATTTATTTAAAGCATCATACTTGAAATTACAGCTGTGCTGATACACAGAGCTATCTTGAACAACTTTGCCCTCCTTTGCTGTCCCCTAGAGAATGGCATTTCTCAGCAGAAGGTCAGGAAGGAAAATGCAGCCTTTAGCTTGCATCTGGTTTTCAATAAAGTGGAAATGGCATCTGCCCTAAATATGAAGTATGCTCCAAAAGATATTTGTAACAAAGTAAAGGAGTGACTCTAGCTTCTTCTTCCTTTAAGTTAAAAGAGGGATCTGGTGATTAAAAGAAATGTTGCAGGCTGGAAGAAAGAAATAAAAACTCAGAAACAAATGACAGTAGAAGCATGTATTTGATGTTTGGTTTTGGTCACCGAAGTTTGATGTAAGAGGTTTTTCCTGCACTTTACCCTACATTGCTCATCGCAGTAACGTTTGGAACAAATTGGAAAGAGATAAGACATAATAAGTGCTTGGGCCTCTTAAGGACATGGTTGTGGTCATTGCACATTCCCTCTCCCCACTAATCCATTTTCAACCTAGGCAGTCATCTTTAACTGCTTGATCCATGAGAGGAAATGTCAGAAAGAGAGGTACAGACAGCCACACACAATTTATGCCAGTCAGTAGGAACTCCATTTCCCCCAGACCTCTCCCATCTATATTTAATAGCCTGTTATTCATTAACTGGCATGTGCTAACCAGATCTCACCTCCACCAGACCTGGAATTAGCACCTTCCTGTCGAAAATTCCTCCTTTCTGTGCTTATCTCAAGTTCTTGCTATGGTGGCTTCTCTTACAGCAAATTTTGTCTGTGGCCTTGACCCTGTTTGAGATGGGCAATGGTACTCTTTAAGTCCTTACAACAGCTCCAGCCACAAGAAGCAGCAAAGGTGATTCCATGACATTGTACCTTTATCATTTGCCCTCAAATGCACAGACAGACAAACACATAACATCATGAAACAAATGGATGTTTATTTGGAATAAAAGCTAGCCCAATGAAAAGTGCATTGGATAAATATAATTGTACTACAACAGCATGGTAATTCCAAGGATGCAAGTTACAATAAGACACTGAGATCTATAGGAAAAAAAAAAAAAAAAAAAAAAAAAAAAAAAAAAAAAAAGTAACAGCGATAATTCCTTTAAAATTTAGTAGGGAACCCTTAACAATATTACCTGTCCTATAATAATAAAAATGTTTTAAAATGAAAGAGAAACTGCCTCTGTTTTTCCTCAGCCAGGAAAAGGAAATATTATTTTAAAAAATAGAAAAATATCCAACTGAGAAGAAAGTGGTCATCAGACCACATAACCTCATTTGCTCCTCTAGGACTGCTGGTTTGGAGTCGCCATTGAGAGTCAAAAGGAGCATGTCCAGGCAATTGTATTTTCAGTCTATCATTTCCTATTTCCTACCAATCTAAAAAGGTCCTAGTCAAGGATAGAAAGTGTTTTAGCCTTGGTCCTCATCCAAAATAAAATCCTTCCTCTTTCCAGGAAAAATAAAAATCCTAAGCAGCAACCTGAACATTTTCACCTCCCCTCTACAAGACAAATTTCTACAAGCATAATTCAGCTTGGGGCAGAAGATGTTCTAGCAGCTTGTCAGGATTTTCTAGGATGAGTCAGGGAGAGTCTGTGCATCAGATGAGAACTGTAATGAATATATATGAGACTGAAGAAAGGGTAGAAGGGGGTAAGAAGGCAAATATCTTACGGAGCACAAGACATTGAATTTTCAGGTTCTGTTGTACTTTTCAACTGCCACTGCTGACAGAGGCAATCCCTCCTTTCCTGGCCAATTGAAACCGATTTCCTACTTCTTAGTCCAGTTTCAGATTTTTCCGTCATTTATATGCAGCTAATCACAGCAGATGTAGTCTTTATCATAACTCACAAAGGATGGACTCCAGAGCTTCCTTTTCTGGGTTCTCTCTCCTTTTCAGTTTCTCTAAATCTATCATCTTGGCAACCACAGATGCTCTTCTCTCCCCTACCTCACACCTCTTGCGTACACAAAACCCAGGAACATTGACTGTCTTTACTTGCTCTGAAATGAGACAGCTCTTCAATTTCCCCCAGCTGCCCCTCCCTCCATCTGACCAAGGGGAATCAGAGCAGGCCCTGCCAGGCACACTGGTGCTGGGGCCTGAAACCCTCTTGCTCACTGTGTGAAGGAAATCTGTCTGACCATAAATCTCCCAAGGCAGAACTTGTCTGTAATGGTATGGATACATATCTTCAGTCTGTGTCCAGAAGTTCCCCTGGAATCAATAAAAGGAATCAATAAAATTATGGAATCAATAAGGCAAGATTGGAAGCAAATGGCCAGATCTGTACATTAGGTTTTAATAATCCTCAGATCTTATAGATTTTATTTAGTCTTTTTTTATTTACAGCTATAAAACTTGTTTCTGGAGGCTGGTGAAATAAAGTACTGTTCCACAGACTTCTCTGTCTCTCACATTAAGAGGACTGAATTCAAACAAACATCTGCTGTGACAGGGAGACACATTTCTCTGTCTTAACCCCAACCTTGTCTGTAACTATGGTCTCGACGATAAGCAGATTGAGGCAAGATTATTGCTCCAGAGTCCAAAAGAGAAAATCTTTAAAGGTGAGGTTTTGCATGCAATTTTACATATAACTTTATTTTTGCAACCATTACTGTTAAAATGTAGATTTTACAGCATTACCCAGCACTGCCCAGAATTTAGCATACATTTTATGCCAAAAACCTTCTGTTTTGCAACTACATCAAATTTCAGTTTTACACAGAAGAACGTGCATTATTTGGAGAAAAAGATTGAACTGAAAATAAGAAACTATTCACTTTATTTACAAATCCATAAATACGTGATCTTTTCTCCCTTCCAACCATATTTCAACTGGCAAGATGGAATAACAGTGTACCCTTTGGAACCTTTCTTCACTCAAGTACATATAATCATTACTGTCAGCCCATCAAGTTCCAGGTGAAAATAGATTCCATATAAACTCTTTTAAGTCACATTTGATTAGACCCTTTTCTGTATGAGTTTGACATGTTTTATTATTTCTTATCACGGCTTCTGTGGTGGACTTCCCCAGAATAACTCCTGTACCATAAATGACAAACGAAATCTGACTTACATTACAGAGAATGAAATGCTGAAAGTCTCAAGCTGAATATGGTAAATGAAAAGTGTGCATGGTACAATTATCTTATTTGAATAGAAGCTTTATTTTGAGCAACATCAACCAAAACCAGGAACACTTGCCAAGGCAGGAGGGGGTAGAAAGTAACCTGCATCCTGGGTGAAGGTGGGATAGAGAATCTATGGCAAGATAGAGGAATGTGATAACAGAAAGGAACATAGCCAATAATAAACAAGGAGATATGCATATAGATTTCACCAGCTTTACAGTACAGACTTTAATTAAAAGAAATAATTAATTATAAAAAATAAAACCAATTATAAAGCCATGGCTGAAACTTGTAAATGTTTATTTAAGAATGTCAATAATTGCAAAGCTTATGAGACACAGCTGGAAGCTTTATGGGCCTTCTCTGTTGGAAATGATTTTTGGAAAATTAATTACGTGACAGATTTTGCCTGTTTCAGTGGATTTCTTGCCATCTTTCCCTCTCCTCCCAAAATACATAAATATAGAGAGGTAAAAGATCTTTTTTAATGCATAACTAAAGTACTATTTTTGAGCAGCAAACTTATTTGTGACTTCTCTTTTACACTGTAAAATGACCAGAAAAAATGTGTCTTTTATATTTAATTTTCCTCCTTCAGTGACCTGAATAATCTTACTGTGTCTATAAACAGATAAGTCAAAGGCAGATTCTGCTGGCATGTGACCAAACACTGCTTCTTCTCATTGCCACACAGGGAGTTGTTCATTGGAAATTTTAGAAGTTTCTTCTGCTTCTGCTCATTTACCAAAATTTCATTAAAAAACTATTTTAAACATATAATACAACTTGAGCTGATATGGGGAACAATACAAGGAAATGAAGATTTTGCTTTGCTCTCTGAGCCATATGAAGGAGTCCAGAGAGGTTCAATGTCTAATTAGTCCAACAGCTCCCACACATTATGCACATTTCTTGCCCTTGGAAATGTTTCAAGTTCACCAGTTTGTACATAAGTGTAACAAATAGGGCTGTGCACTGGAAAACCTCTGCATTTCATAGGGTCTTTCAAAAATTTGGCATTCACAACACCACCCTTGTATTCCTGGCCTGGTCACACTACCAAGAACTTACACAAAGGGCTATCAACCAGACCAAAGAGGAGTTCTGTAGTATCCTCCTTCTTTGGAAGGATTGCTAAGTAATTGCTAGGATGAACCAGCCAAGTTGTAAATGTGACTGGAAGCAGTAGCACATTCTTATTACAGTTAAACATTCTTGTCTTGAAAACTCACATTTCAGAAACCCCTTTGCAGAGAGCTCATGTCTGAGACTGCACTAGAAAATGATGTGTCTCCTCAGGGATGCTGAAAAACTCACCACCAACCAGAAAGTGATCAGTCTTTCACCTACAAGGATCTGACTGATGAGCCTGGAAGAGCAGCAATGAGGCTTTATTTCAACCTGTCAGTAAGTCATTCCACTATTCATAAGCCAGACCTTTCTGAGACAATTTATGGGACTGGGAAACAAAAGGAACATTAGGTATGAAGAACAAACCAGGACATAATGAGAGGCCAGCTGCTTCCTAAGGGCCAGGGAATCAGGAGCCAAGCACAACAGAAATTATGTCTGACAGAGTCGGGGCTGGGGACTGGCAGCTGGAGACAGCCTGGAACCCAGATCATCCCTGTTCCAGCATGGGAGTCCCTCCCATGACAGACAGACCTCCATGAGCTTCTCTCCAGCATGGGTCCTTCCCTTGAGATACAGCTCTTAGTGAACTGCTCCTGTGTGAATCCCTTCCAGGGGTGCAGTCCTTCAGGAATAGGTTGTTCCAGTATTGTCCAACCCAGGATCACAAGACTTGCCAGCAAACCTGCTCCAGTGTGGGCTCCTCTTTCCGTGGGTCCACCAGTCTTGCAGGAACCTGTTTGAGTTCTGGTTTCCCACAGGGTCACTGCCTCATTCAGGTATCCACCTGCTCTGGCATGGGGTCATCCATGGGCCAGTAAAAGCCAACCTTGTAAATTATGGTTTCTCTGGTTATTTCACAACATACCTATGCCAATGGTAAATTAATGAGGTGATAGTAATCTCTATACCAAAGAACATTGTCTGCTGTGAACATTTCTTCACAGTAACACAAGTGAGGGTAGTACATCATTCCAGTGCTGCAAAACGTATTCAGATGGGCATATCTAAGCTAGAACTTTGTAACATGATTACAAAAATATGTTTGCACAGAACTATATAGCTACGTAAGTCAAGTTTTCAATTTTATGATTCTATGCATTTATTTCCAGTAAACACACTTCCAGGCAGGAGTTAGATATTTTAGAGTTAAATCTCTATGCCTTACAGCTAATTTATCAATTTGTTTCTGTGTCAGATCAAGCTAAAATTTTATTCTCTGGAGCTACAAATCAGTTGTGTTTAAACTTTCATAGCAGTACACACATAATACCAGCTGTCATAGATTTTAAACTTTAGATCTGTAACCCTTAACAAAATTATTATCTTCATTGCCTGATATTTTTGAGATGAGGGTGGCAACGGGAAAGCTGGATAATGATAACAAAACTAAAAGCGAACAAACGGTGTCAAAAAAAATGGGAGATCATGAACACATTTCTATAATTTCGTTCTCATTTCAGTGTTATGAAGACTTTCTCAAAACCAGAAGAAATCTACAAAATTGCACATTAAGTTGTAAGAGAAAATATTTTTTAGATACTCTGCAACTGATCGTACTTCTGCTTATAAAATTGCAAGAGAAGATTCCTGCAATCAGTCATCAAAATCTTCAAAATAAACTGAACACCGTAGATTAAGGGGGAAAGAAGAGGCATGGAGTAGAACTGCCAAGAGTAGGAAGGAGAATGCGCTCCTCAACCTTATATAACAGTGAAGGCCTTGCTGGAGACTTATAATTGGGGGCAGCCTTAGCTGCAGGGAGCATGAGACTGTGAAGTTCAGTATTGTGCAACGAGAAAGCATGGCAGCAAGTAAGACACAATCACAGGCTTCATAAAAACTAGCTTTAACCTCTTCCAGGATCTTCTTGGAAGAATCCCATGGGGACAGGTTCTGCAGGGTAGAGGAATCTGAGAGCTGGTTAATAATCAAGAATCACTTTATCCAATCTTAAAAACAATTCTCTTGAGCTAGCAATAAACAAAGGGGTGAAGAAACTCACATGGGTGAATAAAGAACTCCTGTCATTATTCAAGAACAAGCAGGAAATATACAGGAAGATGGAAGCAGGATCAGGCCACTTGAAATTAATATAGAGAGAGAGGTAGCCAGAGTAAGTAGAAATGAGATGAGGAAGGCCACGGTCTATCTGTGATTAATTCTGGCCAAGGATATCAAGGACAAGAAGAAGGGCTTTTTAAAATATGCCAACAGCAAAAAGAAAACAAAGGGTAATGTGGGCCCTTTACTAAATGGAGGGGGATCCTGGTAACAGAGAGCGCAGAGAAGTCAGAGTTACTGAATGTCTTCTTTGTGTTGGTCTTCACTGACAAGACCAGCCCTCAGAGCTCTCTTATCCAGGACTGCAGGGTAGAAGAATGTTGGAAGGAAGACTTTCCCTCAAACAGTGAAAAAGAGGATGAGGGGTCCAGAGCATTTCTCTTATAAGTACAGGCTGAGGGAGCTGGGCCAGTTCAGTCCCAAGAAGACACGACTGAGAGGGACCTCGTCAATATATACAAGTATCCAAAGGGAGGGTGCCAAGAGGCAAGACCCAGGCTCTGCTTGGTGGTGTCAAGCAATAGGACATGATGAAATTGGCAAAACTGATGCACAAGAAGATTCCACCTGAATATGAGGGATAACACCCTCCTAGCAATAGTATCTCATCCACGAAATTTCAGTGAGAAAATGCTAACTGGTGAACTTTTGTGCTTTAGCTCTATTGTTAGTCTTTTATTCCTGTCTTCTCAACTTAGCCAATTAACCTATTTAGATATGTTATTTAGGGTTAGGCTCTTTTCTTCTTTACTAAAGAGGGCACTTAGGTAGCCAGTTTAGCTGTCTACTCCACTGCCAATCAAAGGGCTAGACTGATTATAACAAAGGTTCAGCATCCATACATTTTATAAATATTTACTGCACATTTTTATCCATTTTAACCAAAACACCATAGACAGCCAGCTTCACAGAAGGAGGTATGTAGTGATTCTTTACCCTGAACTGAGGTTTTTAATCTTAATAATTTAAGTATCCAAGTAATTAAACACTGCATCCCAGGTACATAATAGATGTATATTTGAATTATTTGCACTGCATTATTTTTTCACATTGGAATTGTTATTTTTTTGTATAATTAAAGAAATTAATCATCATGACACAAAACAACTGAAAATATTTGTGTACCCACAGTCATACAGCAATGCAGATTGTGTGAACTGGAATAATTAGACCAAGAATACTTGACAGAATGTGATAAGTCAGTATAGTCCTGTCACGTGACAGACATAACAGGACTGAAGTGAAGAAATGGCAGACTACTACATCCAAACCAACTGATCAGAAATGGTTTAGTGCCAGATTATTATTCTAAACAAGACATATGATGCATACAGAACACTGTAAAGGCTCAGCAGGAACACAATGCTTTCAGATATTACCAGTCTCAAAAAGCATGAACTATGACTTTCAGCACACAGGGAAGGGGAGTGAGGGATTAAAGCAATAACCTCTGTACAATGAGTACTGTGTTTTTACATCATTAGCAAAACCAAAATGACTGTTCTATTTGTATAAGCCTACAAATATTGAAAGAAATTATTATTATATCATATCTGTTGGACTTGAACTGAGTTGAATAATTCTATCTGCTTTGACAGCTGTCTGCATTGGATTTTCTGTTGCTAAAAGCAACAGCTTAGATATCTGTGAAATGAATGGACAAAATAATCCACAGGCACTTCAAAACTTTGTGTACATGTTTATTCTTACTGTATGCCATATCCACAAACATATTTGAGTATGTAAAAATATATGTATATGTGTATGTTGAGTATGCTTTGCCAAACACCAAATGGTTATGCTGTGAATGCATATGTACAGTAATCATGACTCTGAAACATATTTTTGCAAAATATTTATTAAGTAGTTCAATTTGTAGGATTACAAGCTACTTAAACAATTGTGCTAACTGAACATAATTGCTATATATGTGATCCTGAGGAGTAACCAGGAATGGAGTAGTCCTATATTGTATCTGTAGAATGTTTTCCAATCTAGACAAAGCACAGATGTTTTATCCCCAGATAACAGTTCCATCTGAGATAATAGGCAGGTTAAGAGAGACGTACATCAGGAGCAGAACTGTTCCTCCTCCACGTCCATGCAGTTCAAGTGGATAAAACAGGTGAGATTTGAGAGGAATGCTGGGAATGCCCATCCAGTAGAGTAACCGAATGACTGACTGACCAAAACAGAAAAGAATACTGAATTAGTGGATGCCAGACATGTTTTTACTAGAACCAAACACTTAAGACTCCTTCACAACATGGAAAACCAGCTATCACGGTGAAGGAATACAGCGCTGGGAATCAGGTCACCTTCTGACTTTAAGAAGATTTCCAACCCCAAAGAAGGGAAGAGGTTAGACAGGCACTGCTTGGAAAGAGAGTGTGGCATCACAGGGGACAGAGATGGAAATGAACAAGGCTGACAAAGTAAATGGAGCAAATTTCTTTGGAGGGCTAGAATGTACTTTTCCCCTAGTCTAAAAAAGTGCAGTTTTCTGTTGCTTTTTGGTTGGATGGAATTGTCTTGACCTTCTGTTGGACTGCAAATAAAGTCGGAGATTCTGCATAACAAGGACATTGATACTCACTGCCCTAAATAGCAGGAGGAAGGAGCCATCTAATGCTCTGTTGTCATATACTTCCCAGAACCTCATGTCTCGTCAGAGGAAATAATTTTCATTCTCCTTTTTCATTTACAGCTAACAAAGACAGGAAAACCTTTACCTTACTACTGAATAGTAGTAAGGTGTTATGTAACAATCTGCTTTTTGATTTCCAGTACTTTTGGATGAGTTCTAATTCTATTGTCTAACACTGACAAATTACTATCATTAGTGAGACAATTTCAGTGAAGATATATAAATAACCAATTATAATTTATAAATTGCATACTACTTATATATATATAATTTACAAATTCTGAAAAATAAACCACATATAGATAAATTAAATACGATACATAATGAAACAAGCAGATAGAAGTTGATTTAAGCTAATTAAAAATTGCCCATCTACCCTCATTATGGTTCCTAATGTATTCATCTCTGTTAGAATCTTTCATCTCTCATGTCTGCTGAAACAAAGGAAAGAAAATTAATTAGAATTATTTAATACTTTTTTGTTTATATATGGAGGATTTTTTCCTTTAAAAAATAGGCCTTAATAGAAATAAACTAGGATATGTCCCTAGCTTATTTCTTGTCCATTAATTGTTATCTATGTTGCTACAGTAAATCTCTAGCATTTGTTGTTGTTTAATTCAAAGAACTATTCCAGCTGCAAGAGCAGCCTGAATTTCATCAGTGAATAACAAAAGCTCTTCTACATTCTTGAATCCTTGGGATGTGCCTTAAGAAGGGCTCAGAGTATTTCAAATTTTTAACTTAAATTAATTCATAACAGTGCCAGTTTTTTTCCACAGTCCATAAAGACAGCTTAGACTGACTCGCATAGGTGAGTCCCTTCTGGTTTCCTGTCTCCTGCCTATTGTCTACACGTGTGGTTGGGATATGGAAATGTTTTTTCCTAGTGTGATAATCACCAACGAGGAAAACAGGAAGAAACATTATATGCTGAGAGTGGCAGAAAGAGTTTATTTAAATTCTACTGAGTTTCCTGTTTCAGCACTTAGTGATGGTATCCAGTATAACTTTAGGCCATTCTCTCAGAGTCCAAGTCTAGTGTTTTTGCATATCAAATTTTACAGGACTACTGAATCATAAAATCATTTAGGTTGGAAAAGACTACAAGATCATTGAGTCCAAACAATCATCACTTTGGTAACTAAATCACAGCACCAAGAGCAGCCCCTCAATGTCTTCCTTGTCGTGGTGGGCCCAAAACTGAACACAGCATTCAAAGTTTGGTCTCAGTGCCGAGTACAGGGGGATGGTCTCTGCACTGGTCCTGGTGGACACACTATTGTTGATACAATATTTTGATATTTTGGTATTCTACAAAATATTCATAGAGAAGCTTACTTATCAGGAAAAACTAATTTTGAAAGTAATTTATAACTCCATCACAGAAAAAGAAGCAGAGAATCTCTTAACACTGGCAGCTTTCTTCCTAGGGTCTCCTGTACACAATGGAAGCTGAAATTTCTGTGATACACATGTATCAATTTCTACTTATCATGCTTCTTAAGACAGGAATTTAAGGACTGTTAGACAAATTTGACTTTTTAAGAAAATTATCACAAATGCATTATTATTGTTTTTCTATTTCTACATATTTTTGGTAAAGCAAAACAAAATGAAAAACCAAACAAACATGTATACCAAAAATCCCCTAGCAATGACTAAAGACTCGTGGCTTGATCACCTTTCAGTCTTAAAGGTAAAATGATCATGGTGTTAATAAAATATTTTAAAAGTCTCTTTAGAAAGAAGGGTACAAACTACATTCAGAATAAATACTGTTTGATATTTTATAATCTAATGCAGTTATTTAACATAAACAGGATAAATTTGGAGTCAGTCATTTGTGCTACCTTATCCTTACAAAAAAATACAAGTGGTCATTTAAAAGGGAACGTGGCATATAAGAAACTAAACTATCAATAGCACTGGTAATATAGTAGAGCCCAAGGCCCAGAAGAAATCAAGATTGCGGGGAAAAGTCAGTAGTTGGAAGAGTTTTCATCCAGAACTGAAAGCCCAGACTCTTCTGTAAAAATGAACACATCTGAAATACAGCTGGAGTGTGGGAGAATCAAAGCAATACAGAGCAGCTGAGCTGGGGATGTACCTCTGGGGATCATTAGTCAAACTCATGCTGCAGGCAGGATCACTAAAAGCAAGTTCCCCCAGATCATCTCCAGTCAGACTTTCAATATCTCCAAAGATTTCTATACCTACGTCCAGTATTTGACCACTGTCCCAGTAAAAAGAAGTTTATTTCTTATATTCAAATAGCATGTCTTGTACTTTAACTAGTGCCTGAAAAACAGCCTACAGATCTGCTCTGGCAGCTTCATTCCTTTCTCTAACTTGGTGGGGGAAGAAAGTGGGATTTTGTTGGCAGGCAGTTCACTAAATTCACAAAAATACCAAAAGGAGGATGCTACTGTCATGAAGTTGTATTAAAAAGACATATGAAGCTGAATAATATGTCAGTGAGAGAGACTGTCTTTTGCAACTTATGTTAAAAGCTGGCAAGTGGCTGCTGCACATGTAGGACCTCAGACGGGTCTCCTTCCTTTCTCTAGCCATTCCCAAGAGGAAACAGGAGATTACAATGGCCATGAAACTCCCAGGAAAGGTAGAGCTAAACCAGCTCTGCATAGTCTTGGTGCTGGAAAAGGAAGACAAGGAGTAAAATGAAGGCTATTCACCTGAGTTTTGTGAGGACTGGACTTATGGGAAGATCCAGAGAAGGGGACATCCCTCCTTTGAGTTACAAGTGTACATGATGGCAAAGTCTGTAGTGAGCTCTCAATCTGATCATTTCTCCAGCCATCAATCTGCCATTTCATGTCTATATTTGCCTTTATCTCTATTTGCAAAAGAAAATATGCCTCTGTTCTTAGAAAATGCAAATGTCTCTGAAGAAAGTAAAGTAAATATGAGAGAAAAATCTGAATATGCGGAAACAATTTTTTGCTGTGAGAGTAACCAAGAAATGACACAGGTTGCCAGAGAGATGGTGGACTCTTCATCCTTGCAGATAATCAAAAGGCATCTGACCTGGTCCTGAGAAACCTGCTCTAGGTGGCACTGCTTGAATAGGGGAGGTGGACCAAATGACATCCAGAGGTTACTGCCAACCTCAACCATTTTGTGGTTCTAAATTTTTATGAAAATAGTTAGTTATTCTCTCTATTCTAGAGAATAATACTGAAGGCGTTGCACTGACCCTCTTTCAAGGCTCCACACCTTACTTAGGAATGAGTTTCAGGCAATTCTGGAGTTTGAAGTCAACTTTTTGAGAGGAAAAGACTCAATTCATGACTTGAAAATTAACTCTTTTTGAAAGCCTGCAGGCCTTTTTTTGCTCTGTCCAGCAGCTCATGGTTTTAATAGGAACATGCTCAAGGCCCTGTTTTTTGCCTGTCACCAATAGTATCCCAAAACTTGTGTCTTTCCCCGGGTGCTTGAAAACATATGCTGGCTGAGGGGGATGGATATATCTCTGGGAATTTTTTTTCTCTGCACAGAAAGTTTCAAACTTCTCCTCTTTAGGTACTGTGGCTTTAACTTACATTTTTTGCTGCTTGGTGGATTTGCAGATCTGAGGGTTGGTTGCTTTGTGAAATGAAGGCCCACACACCATACGTGAGCTGTGGCGGGGGAGAGAAGAAGGCAGTCAGTGATGTTTGCTGCTTTCAGAGACTGTACAGTAGAACATCTCGAATTTCAAGGAACCCCGCTCCCTGTCTCTGTACAACAGTGCCTGGCTATGGTTATGTGATGTTCCCCCCACCCTCTCAGCCCCCTAAATTATCAGGCTAGCCCAGAGATCCGAGGCTTTGAGGGGAGGAATATCAGAGGATAGCAAAGATTTCCAAAATAGGCTCTTACCCTGATATATGTTGGTTCAGTTCTCTTTATTCTGTGATGTCCAAAGGGAGAGTGGGGCAAAAGAAGACGAACAGGAAATGTCAGGGGTTTATCTAGACTTTGGACAGGGAGGGCTTCTTGGCTCTCTTCCAGCCCTGTCAGGGCAGGAAGGAGGGGTCCAGGGTTATCTTGATCAGAGTCACAGGGTCCTGGGGAAGGGGGAACAGAATGCCCATGAGCACAATATAACAGTTATGGAGAAGTTCTTTGCAGCAGAAACACAGTAAATATGATAGTGAATCAGACTGAGCTCAAATGACCGTAGTGGAAAATTTTCTTCCACAAATTGGTGGAAGAAAACAAGACAGCACTGGGGAAACCTGAGAAAAAGACTTATAAGAGGTTTTATGGTTGCATGTTTGCAACCACCCACTTCCAAAGACAAATGTCATCCATTCCAGGCAGTGGGGATAGTGCCATTCATTTGAACTGCTGTCACTGAGCAGCAGGAGCTGATGATTTCCCCTACCACATTGACTCCTAGGCTGCAGACAGCAGGGGAAGAAGGGGAAGAAGAAACTGATAAAGTGTAAAGGACAGAACCTCTAAGATATTTAAGTAATTTAACACTAAAGGCAGCACTAATCATTTAAGATAGGCCTTATTCTCCCCAGTTTCCCAATGGTTTTCAGTATGATAGAGGAACTGTTTAGATTGCTTCCCTATAATTATTAGTAAACATCTTATTTGCTATGTCTCTTATTTGAAGCAGAGCCTAAATACTTCAGTCTAATTATTACTCATTCATGAATGCCTGCTTTATTGTTCTAAATGAAAACATGCTCTTAGAGAGGTAATAAAATTATAATTAGAATCTATTCATAACAAATTTAAGAGTGAATGCTCAAAGCAGTCGACACTGAAGTCATCCAAAGCATGTGTGAGTATGCAAGAACTGTATATACAGTTCTGTGTATACTGTTTAATTGTTACAGTTGTATTTGACGTAGGAAAATGACTTCTTGATCTAAATGGTTTTGAACTTGCAAGGCTCATGCTCCACTGCTTCAATTGCACAGATTCATAGACAGCAGAGGAGCAGTGCTGTTCAGTGCCAGATCTGGATCACAAAACTCAGCTGAATTTCAGATAAGTAGCACCACAAGAAACATAGCATTAAGACACAATCACCATGCTCAGGCACAGTCACTATCTATCATGCAAACTCCATTTCTCACAGCAAAACATTTACTAACCTCCTGTCTGAGAAGAAAATTGCACTGTACGTTTCAAAACAGTTTTCCTAAAATGCATAAAATGAGTAATAGCCAAAAGAGGCTTATTACAGGTAGAGTCATATATAGTGTCAATACAAGCAAAATCAAACACAACTCTTTTGATTATTCCTTTCCCTTCACTCTAGTTATATCCCATATTTTAATGAGTATTGCTAACCTATTAGCTGGCAAAATAATCCACATTGAACTTATCAAAGAAAATGCTGTCCAAGATTCCAGACTTTGTCTGTAGGAAGCAATGTTTCATCACAAATGCAAGACAGACAGCTGGATATGAAAAAGCCAACAGAGCTGTTAAGACAGACAGGTGCAAGTTCTGCTCTGCCTATTCAGCACTCCATAGGGAACCACTGTACTGAATGGAGGATGGATTGTGCTTACTGTTGTAAAAGATGTGTTTCTGAGGTCTCTCCTAACAGCAATTTGCTCATTCTTATGGATTCATTCCCCTACAGATTTCACTGCTCCACTTCTCTGCGTGTTAACCAGGAATGCAAGTCTGTGTTTCAAAGGCAGAAAGCTCTAACTATTTCAAGAGCATCTTGTCAGCTAGGAGACATGGCTCCAAGGACATCAGGATAAAAAGTCATCTGAGGGAAACATAATCTTGTCAAAATCTTGTGTGGAAATATTGAAAATATAAAAGTTTCATAGAGAAAAATATATATGCAATATGCATGCAACTTCTGATAAACAGTCACCTAACCTGTAAGGGGTTTTTTTTTCCACAGCAGGACACTAATGATTCTGCTATCATTAACAGTTTTATTTTGCTCAGTTTCTGGCTCAACAGGACCATTTAATTCTTCTGAAACATTATCACTGACCTTATCAAAAAGCAAAAGGGTATGATTTTTCTTCTGGTAGAAAACTAGACCATTGGGTCATTTCAGCATTATATAAACATGCCTGTGATTGATACAAAATAACCCCCTGTTCTGTGTGCGTAACCTGCAAGCTACAGCTGAAGAACAGTCAGTTTGATATCCTGCTTTTAATTTCCTGTGGTAAGTCATTTCATTACTCCCCAGCTATACTTGACATACATAACATAATTCTGCTTACAATTTCAACTATTAACACTATGTTAAAGAATACTAGCAGACTATTAACATATTTGGAACAAAAACTGAAGCTTTATGACTTACATAAGCTCTACAATTTTTAATCTCAGATCATAATGATTATTTCAGCATTTACTGTGCTTGCTGAAGGTAATTTTAGGGTAGCTGATCTCTGCTGAAAGGGTATGTCCTTTAAATAAGAAAGGATAGATTAATGTCAGAAAAATATTATTGATTTAATGTGTTGAATACTTTTATGTATCCTGGTAGATATAATCTCATTTTTACAAGCATTTTAAAAGCTAGTCTGGTTTCTGTGTTGTAATGCACAAGCTTGTCTCCCACTGGAATGGAGGATTTGTTACAGACTACCGACCTGAAACTTAATTCACAGAAGGAAGGAGGAGAGCATGCTAGATGAATCCTATACTTCCTTAAGTATATATTTCCACATTCAGCTGCATCTTCATTTTCTCATTTTCTGTCCTGCATTCTGAGAAGGAAGGAAAAAAAAAAAAAAAAAAGCAATAATATTCTAGTGATATATCTTTGGTACTTCCAGGGCATAATATCAATAGCATAATGTAGCCAGGTCATTTTGCTTTCTACATTCCAGCACAGTGAAGGCCCTAGGCACGTCTTGACCTTTTCCACTGTTGACTACACAAAGGCTTCCAGTTTTGATTTGCCAATTGCTAATCTTAGTTGACTAAAACCACAGCCAAATTCTCCTGAGAAACAGTTAGATTGCATCACTCATAGTTTATATGGCATTCACTTACTTCACTGTACTGCAGCTAAGCATTGCACCTGATATATTTTAAGGGATTTAAATGATGCTGTTTGGCAGTCATGTAACTTCATCAACTGTGACACAGCTGCTATGCACCTTTTTGACCTCTTGGTACTTTATAATTTTTAATGTGTTTAGAGTTAGTCAACAGAAATGCAGCAATGTCATAATGCCATCTACAGGCCCTAAACAGTCCCAGTTTCTCTTGATGACCCTGCCTTCCATATTCCACCAGACAACTAAAAGAAAAGGCTGGTAGGAAAAGAAATCATAACAAACCTTGCAACTGAGTGTCAAATCATAAGTAATTCAAACAAATTTCTATACTATGATTATTAATAATGGGTTTTCTCACTATCCTAGTAATTTCTGCCAGGAACAATGCACAGATAGGTTTTTGTGTAGTATTTATGAACTCAAGCCATGGCCTCAGTTAAGAAATAAGACAGTGTAAAAATAAGTGAGCAGTCCTAAATGTTGCATTGAAGTTGCATTATTTTCAGTCCTTAAAATCACTGACAAGATGTTGGCCTACAGTGGTAGGTATTCTTATAATAATGTCCAGCCTTTCTGATATTGAACACCAGCCAGCAAACCTTCAAATACCCAAAGGCTGAAGGATAGACATCACATATTCTCGAGAGATGAGGGAAGAAGAGAGTTCCAACTGTGGTTCACAAAAGGTGAGAACAGCTCCCAAGGGGTCCCACTGCTTCACCAGGATATTGCCAGCCTTAACACAGCCTACTGATTTGCTCCCTCAAACTCAGAGGTTCAGATTACCCAGAAGTTCCCACACCAGCTCAGCTTCCCTGTTCATCATGTTGCACAATCTCACATATGGCTTGAACTTCTGAAGGTCCTCATGCATCTTAAGACACATCCTTGCCTTCCTGTTAGGTTTGCCAGCAGATATTATTTTGTGCAACCACAGATAGTGTTAAAGTTGACTGGTGTTTGCCTCTGTTCTGTCAGCTTAAATGGGAAGCAAATGGAAAAAAACTCACCAAAACACATACACCAAACAAAAGAAAGAAAAAAACTATGGCTGAAAAACAGAAACCACAGCCCAAAGTGATGGGCAACCTAGCATG